TCAAATATTTCTCGTATACTTAAATATATATATTGTATATATTTTTACATTATGTATATATAAATTTGATACTTACGCTATTTTCTACGTTATTTTTAATATAAATTAATATAAAAGAGATTTAAGAAAATCAAAACTAGTGTTAATAAAAATTGTAGGCTTATATTTTTAAAAAAATAGACGTTAATTTATTTCATAGTTTTAATAAAGAAATAAAGAGAGAAAGAGAGAGAGAGAGAGAGAGAGAGAGACTAAAACTGTTAAATAAAATTAAATGACTGAAAATTAATGTCAAGTTTTTTTGCGTTAATATAATAAATAGTATTTTAGTTAAAAAATATTTTCGTACAGAATATTCTGTATTCTGTATATAATATGAAATTTATTTGAGAGATTTTATTACAATTTGCATTTGAATAAAAGATTTAATTTTATTCAACTTATTTCTCTCTTTCTTTTATTATTTTTTTGTCTGTTAATTCTTGTTTAATTAAATCTTTTACTTATTTTTTTAGTAATAAAATAATTTCAATTAAATAAATCTAAATGCTTAATATATATGTACAGTATATTAGGGCTCTTAAAAAAATTAATCTCAATGTTATTAAATATAAAAATAATAAAAAGTTAATATATAGATAAACTACAATATTGTTTTAATTAGTGTGCATTTATTTATTGTTTTACTTAATTATTGTATTTTATAATATTTTTAATATATTTTAGTTTTTGGAATATTAAATATATTTTTAATATAATATAGATTACACATGTATTTATTTGTAATCAATTTTTCAAAAATATATTCATTTTATATAATATTTATACATTATATGTATGTTTGTTAAATAGGTGTGTTTTATTTTAATAATAAATAATTTTTTTTTCATTATTATTATTGTGTTAGAATAACCAATTGTTGTTTTTTTATTAATTATTTTACAATATATTAATGGTATTAATAAAATATGCTGTATATATGCAATGCATATATATATGTATATATTACAATACTAGTATAGATATGAAATAAAATTTATGATTTTATTTTTACACAATGTGTTTATCATTTCAACAACAAAAAATACATTATAAAAACAATAGTTTACTTACTCTAATCTACTATAATATATTGAATATATAGTTTTAAATATAGTATATATATCTAAAAAATACTATTAAACTTTCATTTATTATAATAAAAATATTTTTCTCACTTTCTTTGAGCCCACAATATACTTGATGTGGGGCTATAGTTGACGGGTTTATTACTGGCACTGATATGTCAACTAAACTATATTGTATGGTATATGGATTGGGTTGACACCACTTAATAGAAAGTTGTCTAAATATCGTATGTAATATATTCATGTATTAATATATATATCAAATACTGTATAGAATATAAAGATATTTAATATTTATGACGTGAAATATTCAATGTCCTCTTTATTATTATTTTTTATTATTATATTATGTTTGTGTGTGTGTGTCATGTCATACGTGTCATATAATATTAAAGTCAATATAATATTCAATATTTTCTTGTAATAATAATAATAATAATACTATAGTTGTTGTTTAAATCAATATTTTATGGGTATTTTTTTGTCAACTATTGATATGCAATATTATTCAATAAACAGTATTAAGGTGTATAAATTATATACCTTTATAATTACATATAATAATAGTTTGTTGTTAAATATATATATATATACTATTGGATATTGAGATTTATTATAAACATTTTATTTTTTGATAATATTATTAATAATAATATATTTATTAATATTTATTAGGGTAAATTATTTTCTGACAGAAAATCGTTATTTTATTTATTAGATAATTAATATTTTATAAATTGTTTAGTATTATTATTATTATTAATAATAATTTTTCAATATAAAAACAAAACAAAAATTTAATATATTGATTATTAAATTAAATTACTATAATTTATCTATATACAGTTTATATAATATGTTATTTATCCATTTATTTATTATAAATTACCAATAAATACACAGTATATAAATTATATACAGTTTTATAGTTCATTATTTATTATATCTAATATATAATAATAAAACTTTTGATACTTTAAATTTTAACATTTATTTCTTTTTTTTAATAACTAGAGTTTTTTTTATTATTAAACATTAAACTATAGAGTAAACAATTTTGTTTGATATACAATAAAAGTTAAAAACGTTTTTTTTTTGAAAATTATTTTCAATAAACTACTAGTGCTATAATAATAATAATAACTGTAAAAAATTAATGAATCTTTTAAAATGATGTTTTCAGTTCAACAACAAACGTGTGCACAACAACAACAACAAAATAAAATAAAAAGTTAAATAAAATATTATTATTATTATTGGCTGTCTGTCTGTCAGTCAGTCACTACTATTAGCTATGGATTCTCTTAATAAATAAGAGATACATTATTATCCATTATTTACAGTATATATATATAGTGAACGAGTTGTGTGGATCTGTAGACTAAAAATTATTTTATTTTTAAAAAAAAACTCATCCAATAGTTTATGTGTGTTATAGTCTCCTCTCGTAAAATAAAACTTATTGCTATAAAATTAAACTCAAATTCCCATTAAATTGATTTTTTCTTGTGTTGGGTTTTACTATAGTTTACTATGTATTGTGTATGTGTGCACACAATATATCATTTCATTATCAGTAGTAGTAGTTGTTGTAGTAGTAGTAATAGTAGTATTGCCATTGAGTTCAGTAAAGGAAAACCATTTTGCACAACAACAACAAAAACACAAAAAAATAGTTGAGAAAATAGACACTAATAGTGGAAAGGGAGTGGAAAATGCCTACAATTGTATGCCCGGGTGTCTGTCAAACACATTGGAGATATACTATTGAGTGAAAGAAAGAGAGAGAGAGAGAGAGAGAGAGAGAGAGAGAGAGAGACCTAAAAGTAAAAGTGAGAATAACTAGAAATAAGAAAATAATATAAGAAATAAAAGTGTGTATAAAAACAAAAACAAAAAACCTATTATTAGTTAAAGAGTAGCAAAAATTGTGAGCAAATAATTAAATGTGAATTGTATTGCAATCTATTGTATTGAATTGTATGGCAAACACACACACACACACACACACACACATACACACATACACACATACAGTATATATACATTACACTATTGAAGTGAAAATGTTTATTGAAGTTTTAATGATATTTTTTATTATTACACTAATTCTATAACTAATGTCAACAAATATACTATATTGTAGATTTACTTTTTTTTACTTTTAAAAATTCAATTTAATTTACTAGATTATTATTACTATTATATTTTGTTGTTATTGTAGTAGTAGTACTTTATAATACTATAATATAAATTATCTAGTTCAAATTTGATCAATAACCATGGTGTATATAACCATATAGTTTTTTTTCTTTGTAATAGCAATAGTAAATTATAAACGCAAAAATTATTTAGATAAAAAAATAAATATGTAATATATATATATATATATATATAACATAGATGTTTTATAGCTTTATTGTGTGATATAATAGTATAATATTATATAAAAAATAGATTTTTACAAAGCATTTGCTTGAAAAAATATTAAATGATTTGATTTTTATATATAAATTTAGTGTTCAAATCAAACTATCATTACTAGTGCAGCAAAAGTGATATATATATATATATATAACAGCAAAAAAATAAGATAAATGTTAACAATAATTCACATTTTTGTATGTTTCAAAAATGTATTTTTTGAAAACATTTTTTTATATTATTATTTTTTTGGTCATTTTTTCATTTGGTATTTCATCTATTATATACAAAATATATATAAATACTAAACATAGAGACACACATTTTTTTTGCTGTGGTTTTTTTGTTTCATTTAATTTTATTGACAAATCATTTATTTATCGGTTCAGTGTTTGAAAAATTGCTTACAATTTAATACAATATATCAATAAATAGCTACAATATTTTTAGATACAAATTAAATAACACTTACACAAAAAAATATTTTGTTGTCGTCGGATAATATGAAATGTTTAAATATATAAAAAAAAGTTTTGAACTAAAATTTTTATTGATTTATTAATTGATAGTAGTTACGACATAAGGGTGACGGAAGGGGAAAGCACAGTGCTTTCCCCCATATAACAGTATGACGGAGAATAGGTGACGGAGATCACGTGACTCCACCTAACCTAACCTAAGTGAAGTACACCAATGACGTCACTACTACCTCTACCCAATCTGACCACCTACCCGAACTGACCACCTACCCGATCTGACCACCTACCCGAACCGACAACCTACCCGAACTGACCATCTTACCCGAACTGACCATCTTACCCGAACTGACCAACTACCCATAGTAACCACCTACCCGAACTGACCACCTACCCGAACTGACCACATACCCAAACTGACCACATACGCGAACTGAGCAACTACCCGAACTGACCAACTACCCGAACTGACCAACTACCCGAACTGACCAACTACCCGAACTGACCAACTACCCGAACTGACCAACTACCCGAACTGACCAACTAACCGAACTGACCAACTACCCGAACCTAACCCAACCTAACCTAACAGACCACCTACCTAAACTGACCAACTTACCGAACTGGTCAACCTTCCGATGTATTAGCGGAGAGGGGATAGCGGAAATCATGTGACCTAACATGAGTGTAGATGTAAACAAAATAAATATAAATACATTTATTTTTAAAATAATATTTATAATTTATTTACATTTTATTTATTTACAAAAGCGTTCATTAAATATTTTCTCTCTAAAATTTTTATCTAATACATATGATATATTTTCTTCAATTAGTTTACACTTATATTCATGAATACGTCTGTTAAAAACTATCCAATGCCAGTTAGATATACGAGCCTGTCTTGAAGCATATGACCAAACATACATAGTCTTTATCTGTATTTTGTCATCAAATCTAACTTTCTTCATATTTATTTGTTTATTAAGTAATCAAAGTATTTAAACATAAACTCTTCATATAATTCATTCAATGCTTTTCTAGTATAAACACCAGTCAATATCATTTTCCCTTTTCTAGTGAGAGTTATATGTCTTTTATTACCACAATTGATCCTCAAATGTGGAAATATTTCCAACTCATAATTACTGCTCCAATTAAATTGATTCATCAGTTTCTCTACATTCAAGTCGTTTTTCAGGTTATGTGACGCAGCAATGTTAGTCACACGTAAGTTATGTAATTTGATATCATATCCGAGTTTTTGTATTATGCGAGCAGTCTTTCGTAATGCTATTCGACCATCATTTTTTGATTTTGCACCCACACATACTAGTTTACCAGAGTCGTATATCATAACCGTGGCATTAGGGTTACGATACCGTTTAATTACTCTCACAAATGGGTAATTGTGATATACACAATTACAACAGTTGTTACACAATTTTCTTAAATCAATAAAACCAATCATATCAAAGAGATCAGCAGTCATCGAAACATTAGTTATCACAGGCATATTGATAATGCAAATTGTATTACTATAATAAATGTTGATGTAGTTATAAACTCATAAACTATTGCATCAACTATTACAAAAACAGTTGAAACAAGTTGTTTAACAACTATTGCTTCAATTATTGCAACATCTGTTGCAATAAGTAGTTTAACTACTATTGCAACAACAAATAGTGTATTACACTATCGTAAATCCTGTTTACTCTATAAAATATTAACTTATAAAAGCAAAGTGTATACACTATTATTGTATTAGTGTTTATTAGTTTTGTTATAACTGATTATTATTGTAAATTAAATTTTTCATCATCAAAATGGTTGGCAAAACATTGTTTCAAAAATCCATTTTCACCAAATCTGATGGTGAAAACAAATTTGACAAATTTGTTCGTGTATTGGAACACGAAAACGGTGAAAAATTTGTGGACATCCGACTGACTGTTTGCAATGATGGAGAAGATGTCTTCTACACCAAACATGGCGTTTATTTATATGGTAATGAATTCAAAGAATTGTTGAAAAAGATGGAAACCCAAGACTTTGGTTCTTTTGGAGATCTTCGAGTTATCTCATTCATGCATTTGAAAAAACAATTGTATTGTTTTAGTATCATTAGTAATGGTAACATTAAAAAATTAAATGTCATATTCCCTGAAATTGACATTATATTGTCATTGAAAGATGAAATCATTAAATATCTTAATTAAAGTAATTATTGTATATTATAAAACAAATATTGTAATAAATAAACAAAACAAATTAATTGAATAAAATAAATTTTATTAATAAATAAAAAATGTATAATTATTTACATTTTAATATGAAAACAAATAGTAATTTTTAATCCATTTCCACAATAGCTCACATTTGTGTTGAGCGCATCTCATATCTGATTTATCGGGTATGATACGTTCATGAAAATGACATGAACGGCCTCCATACATTCTCTTTAATGTCTTAAGACTAGGACATCTATACTGATCCAATTCAACGTAAGGTATAGCGCACATGTCCAATATATCCGCCAATTGAGAGCACTTAATTCCAATGTATGGCTTTTCTTTGCTTTTGATTTTCTCATACATCTGAATAATAATTTGTTTGGCATCCATTGTTGAGTTTTTTGTTATCTCAGTGTTTACTGTACGTAACGATAATCCCAATAAGTTGTTGGCCAAATAAAGGTTAGTAATCCGATCTTTCAATTCCATATCTCTATAAGTTAAGTTTGTCTCACACAACTCAGACATTTTACAAGTGTGAGATATTATTGCAATCTCACGGGGGACAAAGATATTGTTATAAACAAAACCTTGTGCGTCCATTACACCACAGATTTGATTAATTTTACTCATTTTACAGATTAAGTTTGTTTACTATAAAAAGTAAATCGTGTTCGTTGTTGAGGGGAAACCCTTCTTCTATAAAATAGCGCTCAATGCGATGTCTATATGTTGACGCAATATTTGCTAACGTACCATTAATTACGTTTACATTAGTCATAACAATAAGAAACTTTTCATTATAAATATCTTTTATTTTAATGTATATTCTATAATAATCACTAAAATTTTTATACACATCTGATAAATGACATTTACCAGTTACATAATAATTTGGCAATACAGTCATTAATGTGAGGGTTAAAACCAAACACAGTTTGGATTTGTTCAAATGATCCGCCATTAAAATAATTAGTTAAAAAATAAATACAATATAATCCACAAGTATTAGAGTATACACTTTGAAAATTAATACAGTTGTAATACCAACCGTTTACAGTATTGTCTTTTATAAAATTTAAGATATCATTATGTAGTGGTTGTAATCCAAATGAATCAAAATATATAATGCTACCATTATTTGTTTTGTATACACTAACCCAATGTTCCCCAGGAGCACTAGCTTTATCTGTATTAATAATAACACCACTATCTTTTGGTATAATATTTGGTAGCATATCTCTAGGATATGTACCATAATATTTATTACAATTTTTAAAATAATTATTTATTTGTAATGTATTCATAGTAATTTATTGAAAATTTTTAATAGCAAATCTTGAGCTCTCTATTTCTACACAACTATCATATTCGCAGAATATGATTGCAGTTACAGTCTCTTGTATAGGGTAGGCAAACTTTAGTTCAACTCGTAAGTTACCTCTAACCACAGTTGATACATAACCACTTTTTGCTACTCCATCAGATAAATCCGGTGTAAAATTGAATCCAAATAGTGTATAACCTTCAGCATACTCTTCCCGTGTTATGTCAATATCTGTTGAGTGTTTGATTTGATTTGCTGTTTCAAATAATCCAAAATATTCACGCATATATTTTTTATTTGCAAAGTCTGGTGTGTATGGTCTGTGTGGATATTGAGTCCCATCAACATAGCATGCAATGTGTCGGATATTGTAATTTTTAAAATAAAATGGGTTCATATTATATGAACCATTATATGCTTCGTTACTAACAAAACCAATATATATTTTTCTAGGAATCACTCCATTGATGACATTATTTAAATAACAATCTAATGTGTCTTTAGCTATAATTGATGTCTTTACTTCCTTTCGTGTAATAAAATAGCGGGCATTAGCACTTTCAAGTGCTCTATTGTGTGCCACAACTACTTGTGGGTTAACAATAGATTTATGCATAAACAATCTTACGTCCATTATTTCAACTGTTGGTATCAATGTTTTATCATAAATTAAATAAAACTTGGGATCTTGTGGGTAAATTTTAATATTCAGTGTGACCCCTCCAAGTAAAGACTTTACTTGCGATGCTAAATCAATGTGCAAATTGCCATACATTTCGACTTCACACCCGTCAGATAATGAGTTACCTGACGGTCGTATACGACTACTTCTTATCTCATTTACCGAATCCATAGGTGTCTCATCTTTATGCCAAAATGCAGTCTCTAAATGTGTATTTCTAGCATCACTATTACTGTTAAGAAGAGTGTCAATATATGACACATATGAATAATTCACTGATGATGTTGTAACAGTTGTTTGACCAATATTTACATCAATTTGTTTAATAAATGAATGCATTAAATAATTGATTGGAGATATTAGTTTCCAGTCTTCTGCTTTAACTTCAGGTGTTGTTGATACAGTAGACTTTTGTAATTTAAATTTTAAACATAAATAAAGTTCACTTTTGCTTAAGTTAATATATTCATTTAAGCCTGTATGTATTTCAAATTCAATAGTATTTGTTGAATTAGATAATGTACTTATTGGACGGTGTTCAGTTTGAACATCACGTTCAATCATTAGTTGTGTTGGTGGTACTCCAAACACATCCATTTCTGGAAGTGTCATTAGAGATGATAATTCGTGTATTGTAGACATTTTTAGTATTTTCTTTGTTTTTTCTTAACTGTTTTACGTCTTTTATAAGATTTTAGTTTAGTTTTAACTTTACGTTTACGTCCTAAACCTTTTTGTTGTCTAACATTAGAAACTTTATTTTTAACATCTGTTAAAATAGTATCAGCTGATCTTATCAACTGATTTGTGCCGGCTTCTTTGAATGATTTACCAGATAGTATATCATTACCAATACCGTTAAATGCATCCCATCCTTTATTTGCTACATATTTTAATGCAGGTTTAATGTGTTTAAATATTTTACCAAATATACCATTACCGGACTGGTATCTATGCCCAGCATAAGATACAATACCGTTACCGGCTTGGATTTTATAGTAATCAATATATGGATTATTCATACTTTAATAAAATGCAATGTTATAGTTACTCTACCAAATTTAAATGGTATAGATAAACCACTATCATCTTTTATAGATATTTCAAGTGTTTCAAATTCATTGAGTCTTACAGGTCTATATTGAGGTCTTTCATAATTTAAATGTACTGTATCTCCAAATTTATATTTACGCGGTATTTCAACTACTCTCAGTAGAGGTGCAAATGTATCACCAACTAGTGATGGGTATACAATATCACTATATAAATATAGTGAATGAAAACCACCACTAATCTCTACAGGATGAAAGCCTTTAATAGTATTTTTATTTTCAATTCCATTGAATACTATATTAACTAAGCTATTGCTACCATAATAATAATTATGTGTAACTTTTCTATCTTTTAAACCTAAAATGTTTTCAATTTCTTCACCCAAGTCAGGAAATATTTTAACTACACTTTCAACTATACCAACATTAATTGTAATAAAATTATTAATCTCATTATAAACTAATTTTGGTGGTTTAATATCAGTAAATAAAGTCAAAATATTGTTAATTTCATTAACTAATTTCTGTGGTGTTTCATAATAACCAGCTTTAAGTGTAAACTTATCATCATATTGATTAGACTTATCACCATATATACGGCCCATTTCATCAAATAATGTAATTTTATGATCATTTAATATATTATACCATGATTTGGTATAAGTTATTTCAGATATACCAACACACCAACTATCATCAAGTTTAACTGTTTTGCCTAATTTTGTTCTAAAATCAGACATTGTATTGTCAAATGTTTTGACATTATTAACTAAAGTAATATATTTACTCATTATTCACAAAGTTTTATTTGTGTATTGTTATCAAAATAACAATTCCAAATAATTTTTTCTTTATCTCTTAAAAATAATAATACAACAACAAATATAATAAATAAAATAAAACACAATATGTTAATTAGTAAACAATTCATTTTTATTTTTAAAATACAGTATCAGAGCCTTTTATAACATTTTTACATAGTTTAAGTTTAGGGTTAGGCATTATATAACCAATACAACTAGTTAAAATAATTGCCCATAAATTTTTGTTGCCAATTTCAAAAGTTAAGTTAATTAAGCTTACAAATATTACAATTGTCATTAATGACATTTGAATAGTAAACAAAATTAATTCAGTTTTACACAATTTATTTAGTATAGACATCTTGAATGCTATCAATCCAACTGTTGTATTCTTCCGGATAGTTCAACCACTTAACAAAATACTGTCTACGACCACGTCTAACACGACTTCTAATAACTCTTTCAATACGGTATAGATTTTCTTTGATCTTTTGGATCTCTTGTGGATAAAATCGCTGTTCAATAATATTTCCTTGTCCATCACTTAGTCTAAACACATATTGATTATCACCTTTTATAGTCTTTACTACAGTAAAGACTTGATCAGTCCAGTTAGGGTAATAACCTTTATCAAATTTAGACATTTCGTACACTTTACGTACTTTATCTCCTGTAGCGACATCTGGTGTTTTAAACTTTTTAGATTTAACATATAAGTTATTGTATACTTGTTTTGTATTTTCTGTAGTCACCTCAATAGGTGACATACCTATAGATCTGTGATATGATGTATTGTATGCTTTAACAAGTTTTTGTAGTACATCTACATATCTTCGCGAACCATTAGCAGTAAAGTATTTAAACATACGTGACTTTAATGTACGATTAAAGCGTTCAACTATAGCACATTTTATTTTATAATCATTTGAGTGAAAGTAGTTGACTCTATTTAATTTTAGATATTTTTGAAATATTTCATTTAAAAACTCTTTACCTTTATCTGTACGTAAAGATAATGGTTTTCTGTTTTTAAATAATGTTTTAAAAGCATTTGTAATGCTTTTTCCTGTTTTAACTTTCAATGGAACAGTAAATGCAAATTTAGAAAAACAGTCAATTACTGTTAAAATATAATTATATTTATCATTTTTATTAGCAAATTCTCTCATATCAGCTAAATCTGCTTCCCATTGCTCATCAATATATGTCACAACAATAGGATTTCGTATAAATTTTCTGTGTACTTGTTTATGTAGAGTATAAGTTAACTCTCCTTTTAACCAATCTTTTACTAATTTTAATGTTATATTTGGATTTAATTGTTTAGCAGTTTTATACAAATTATTTACACCACTAAATGATCCACTATTTTGTGGATCATAATATATTTTATTCAACAACTCATTTATATTTTGATCCATTGTATAGATTTTTTAGATTTAGATTTTTTAACAATCTTTTTATTTACTACTTTTTTAACAACTTTTTTGTTAGGTTTATGAACTTTTGTATTAACTTTGCTTTGTTTTTTAGTTGTATTAATTAAATTATTTTTAATTAAAACTTTTAAAACCATATCTTCTATTATACTTAAAAATGAATTATTAATATGTGGAAAATTATTAATATGTGATAAATTGTTTTTAATATTGCCATCATTTGTAACATTGTCAACAATGTTTTTAGTTACTAATGTGTTTGGTTTAATTTTATCAAACGGTTTACTATCCACACTCATTGTTGAGATATCCATATCGATGTCATCATCACTATCATTAGTAACCAATTCAACTTTTCTGAATGACATTATTTTTTTATTAATTCGTATACAGTTGTTAGTAACGGTATTAACCACATCCAAGCGTTTCCTTTTTGTACAACACTTTTACAAGTTTTTAAACTTTGTTTCCTTTCAAACTTTTTAAGTAAAAGTTTTCTACTTTTATTCAATTTTTTAGTTTTTATATTTCCTTTTATAACATTTAATCCAATTTCTTTTATAGCTAAATATACTTTTGGGTCTTTAGCTAAATAATTCAATAATGTTTTTTGTGTTTTCTTACATTTTATTTTAGAAACAAACTGCAAATCTCTAAAATATTTTTTCAAATTATCAGACATTACTTAGGAATATAGCAAATAATTTTCAATTTATTATTAATTGGTATAATATTTGTTTGTACTCTATATTTTTCAGGTGTATCCTGCTTTAGGTCTACTTTAATATAACCATATTGAACAGATGTGGCGTCAGTATACACTTCTATAAAGTATTTTGAATTTTCCGGATATATCTGTGAAGCTAAACTAATTATCTGTCTTTTATCTCTTGGGTTTTTAAGTAATATCAAATAATGACAATTTAAACTAATTGTTCTCATTTGAGACCCTTGATGAAATATATTTTGTGATATAAATATCACACTTATATTCATATGATGACTACCTTTAGTAAATAAATTTGCTAATTTCACATTATTTCCCAACTCAGTCATCAAATCATCAATAACTATGAGATGAGGTTTAATCTCTTTTACTTCTTCTTCATTGGGTAGGCCTTCAATATACTGTATATCACAATCAGCAATAGATTTAGTGTACAATTCTTGCCATTGACCGTATGCCCACACAATTTTTAACTTATTTGGTATATCAGAAAAATATAAAGTTTGTTTATAATTTTCCAATATATTTCTAAGTAAAACGGTTTTTCCACTACTTGTAGGTCCAGCGACCATACAAGTGAATGGGTGCTTGAATGAAATGTGTTTTCTATCCACTTTAATGCAATTCATTTTAAATAATTAAAACATTGATTTAATAATAAAAATTTATTTTATTCATCTTTTATAAAATTTTATACATTTGATTTTGTATCAAATTTGCATTCACAGGTAGCCAATTCGGACAAGTATTTTACAAGTTTGTTAGTATCTTCTGTTATACCATTTTTATGTCCAATTGCAGTCAGTCTATCGACGATGATTTTCATTCCCGGCTCTGACAACATATAAAATTTCATGTTTTTTAGCCGAATCAATTCAGTTTGAATGCACTGGTCTTGTTTTGGTCTCTTTAACGGTGGCTCTGAAATAATATAAAAATTTTAATATATAATTAATAAAATATATTAATATAAAATACAATACCTTCCAATAATTTTTTCAAATAACTGTCTTTGAAGTGTCGTTTAGCCATAGTTGTAGTGAATATAAAATAATTTTATAAAAACATTGCTTTATATAGTCAATTATGACCTCAATATGTATACTTAGTTTTATATTTAGATATTTATTTATAGTTGATGTAAATAAATTAAACATAAAAATAGTTTTTAATCACATTTTATTTAAAATAATTTCAAATAATTAGTACAATAATATAAATATAAATAGTATTAAATAGTTTTAACATATTATTCATAAAATCCATAGGGGACAGTTTGATATAAAGGGTGTCCCCTAACAATCCTACGTTTTTCAGATACTGCCTGATATATCTTATTTACTTTATTTGTTGTCACGTTGTGCAGTTTATCTGAACGGAAACATAATTGTGGAGCCAGTGTTGTGATTGATGTATTGTTAAAGTAGTGTTGAGCAGTCTCTTTAACTCTTTCAAAGTTTATTTTATGCTTTACTTCTTCAGTGATTGAAATGCCTTTTACTTTAACTTTTTGAATCACACGGCCATCACCAGTAACGACCTGATAGCCATAGTTTTTGGGACCACATGAAGTAAATGAGTTGATATACGACCCTTCTTTGTAATCTTTTTCTATTTCATC